AACAATAATAATGATAATAACAATAATAATGATAATAATAATAACAACAATAATAATAATAATAATAACAATAAAAATAATAATAATAATAGAATAATAATAATAATAATAATAGTAATATTATTAATAATAATAATAATAAATAATAATAGTAATAATAGTAATAGTAATAATAATAATAAAAACAAAATAACGACAATGACAATGACAATAACAATAACAATAATAATAACAATAACAATAACAATGACAATGACAATGACAATGACAATAACAATAACAATAACAATAACAATGACAATGACAATGACAATGACAATAACAATGACAATAACGATAACAATAACAATAACAATAACAATAACAATTACAATAACAACAATAGTAACAACAACAGTAACAACAACAGTAACAACAACAGTAACAACAACAACAATAATAATAATAATAATAATAATAATAATAACAACAATAAATAATAACAACAATAAATAATATTAAAAGTAAATAATAACAACAATAAATAATAACAACAATAAACAATAACAACAATAAATAATAACAACAATAAATAACAACAACAATAAATAACAACAACAATAAATAACAACAACAATATATAATAAAAACAATAAATAATAACAACAATAAATAATAACAACAATAAATAATAACAACAATAAATAATAACAACAATAAAAAATAACACCAATAAATAATAACACCAATAAATAATAACACCAATAAACAATAATAGGAATAACAATAACAGTAATAACAATAACAGTAATAACAATGACAATAATAAAAATAATAACAATAACAATAATAACATTAATAACAATAATAACAATAATAAAAATAATAACAATAATAACAATAATAAGAATAATAATAATAATAATAATAACAATAACAATAATAATAATAATAATAACAATAATAATAATAACAATAATAATAACAATAATAATAACAATAATAATAACAATGATAATAATAACAATAATAATAACAATAATAATAACAATAATAATAACAATAATAATAACAATAATAATAACAATAATAATAACAATCCTAATAACAATCCTAATAACAATAGTAATAACAATAGTAATAACAATAGTAATAATAGTAATAGTAATAACAATAATAGGAATAATAGTAATAATAATAATAATAATAATAATAATAATAATATAAATAATAATAATAATAATATTTTTTTTCCCATTCAACAATACAGGCCATGGTATCTCCATCAAATAAATGCCGGACAGGGACACGTGTCAAGCGCCTATTGGCCGAGGGGTCACCTCAACTGGTTGGCGTTGGCAGCCGCATGTGGCCGCATTTAATGCGGCTTTTGGATGGGACGTCTATACATGGTACGATGATCTGTACGCATGTGAGGCGGATATCATGTCGGGAGAGGTGCCCTCGGCTGCAGAGGACTAGCCGAGGGCTCTTAGTGCCGAGGACCCCTGAGTGCCGAGGGCTCCAGGTGCCGAGGGCTACTGTTTTCGCCGTTTTCTCCCAGTTCCTTTGTTTGTTCGAAATATCCATGCTGTGATAGTTTGGACCCTTCGGCCAGGGGGCCGAAGGCACCCCTGGTGCGTATTGCGGGCTGCTTGGTACTCTGGGCGTCGTGATTTGGGCCTGTTGGGCCTTCTGGGCCTGTTGGGCCTCTACTGGAGTAGTAGGAGTCTGTGGGCCGGGTGTTTTCGGGCCATATACTCCATCAAATATTAATAATAATAATAATAATAATAACAACAATAACAACAATAATATCAACAACAATATCAACAACAATATCAACAATAATCGTAACAATAATCGTAACAATAATCGTAACAATACAATAACAATAACAATAACAATGACAATAACAATGACAATAACAATGACAATAACAATGACAATAACAATGACAATAACAATGACAATAACAATGACAATAACAATGACAATAACAATGACAATAACAATGACAATAACAATGACAATAACAATGAAAATAACAATGACAATAACAATGACAATAACAATGACAATAACCAATGACAATAACCAATCACAATAACCAATCACAATACCAATAACAATACCAATAACAATACCAATAACAATACCAATAACAATACCAATAACAATACCAATAACAATAACAATAACAATAACAATAACAATAACAATAACAATAACAATAACAATAACAATAACAATAACAATAACAATAACAAAAACAATAACAGTAACAATAACAGTAACAATAACAGTAACAACAACAGTAACAACAACAGTAACAACAACAGTAACAACAACAGTAACAACAACAGTAACAACAACAGTAACAACAACAGTAACAACAACAGTAACAACAACAGTAACAACAACAGTAACAACAACATTAACAACAACAACAACAACAACAACAACAACAATAATAATAATAATAACAATGAATAATAAGAACAATAAATAATAACAACAA